CTGATTCAGACGATTGTCCACTTCCGCTCCCTAAGCCAGCCCGCCAGATCGAACACACCCATGGCTGTCCCCCGTAGCCCGAGACCGCCTACGGTTTGGACGCCCCCCGTTTCGACCACGGCGGATGGACGGCCATTTTGTCGAGCTCGCCGTTAGTGGCTTGGTTGGCGGCGGCTGGCGGACCGAGCGCCCAATTCCCCAGCAACCGACAATGAGGAGCGGGGATGGCCACCAGCGCAGCCGAGCAACCGTGTCACCGCTCATTATTCTTGAAGTTCCACCGATCTCGATACGGCTTGAACACCACGCGCTGTTGGTGCTCCCCCCGCCCACCCGCAGGCAGGAATGAATGCCAGGGCGAAATGGCAGAACGAAGGATACCAGACCCTGGGGTGGACCAAAGAAAACGGTTCGGCTCAAAGCAAGCCGACCGGCATGACGAAGCAAACCGCGGACTAGCCGTATGCGCTTAGTTCAGTGAGAACCTCCAGACCTTGAGCCACAATGGCTACGGACCACGGCGCCGTGGAGCGGGACTAGGCGGACGAAAAGGCGGCGGCGTGGGGGCGGCGCAGACCGCAATGATGCTGTGGAGGGGGGCTCAATAAACATCGGACCGGATAATCGGATCGGATGGGAACGGGCGTCGGATCAAGCCGCATCGGCACGGAGTCGGGATCGAATCGAATCGGATTGGCTGCGCCAAGGACGCACAGGAACGCAATGCCAGCACCGGGCCGCATCGGATCGTCGGAGTATTCACAGTACCGGAATCGACTGGGATCGGAATGACCAACTGCGATATCGAATCCGATCGGATCGAAATGGGCCCTGGGAGGGCCACACCGACACTTGCAGAGGGCGAACGCGTGAAGTATGCACGGGGCCAAGAGCGCAGACGCGGAGCGCGAAACGCACATGGCCACGGCGCGCGCCTCGCACCTCGCGCCGCGCGCCTCGCGCCTCGCGCCGCGCGCCTCGCGCCTCGCGCATCTTCCCCCTCCTCCTCCTCCTCCCTCCTTCCCCTCCTCCTCTCAATATTACCGCTGTTCTTCACACCTCCTTCTGCATCCTCCTCCTCCCCCCTGCTCCTCCTCCCTCTCCTCCTCTTCCTCCTCCTCCTCCTCCTCCTGCTCACCCCGGTCCTTCACAAAGACGGTGAGCAAGGCGATCAAGCCCGCGAAAAAAGACAGCTGGAGGTTGCGAACCCACACGGACGGGGGCGCCTGGCCGGCTCAAGCTGAAGGTGAGGTCACTGGCCAGAGTCGCGCAGAGAGACCGCAGGGCTGCCTCCATCCTTTCTTCCCCTCCTCCTCCTACGATTTCCCTAACAGGACAATAGTTGTTCACGCTGCCTGGGCCCTACCAGGTAGCATATCCGCCGATCCAGCGTGTGAGTTTGAGAAAGTCTCAGCTACAGCCTACAGCCCAGACCCTGAGCTTCAGCTCTGCTGGGGGGGGGGCCGGGGGGGCTCTGCCGGGGAAGGGGGGAGGGGGGGGGGACGAGTTGTGGTGCGCTTTCCGGGGCGGGGCTTTTCCAGGGCCACAAGGGCCCCAAGACGGGCTCAGAGGGCCCCAAGACCCCCCAAGACGGTCCAAGAGGCCCCCGAGACGCCCAAAGAACGCTCGATGGCATCCTGACGGCCCAAGAGGCTGCCGAGACGCTCCAAGAAGCCTCCAAGAGCCGTCAGAAGAGGACCCTTAAGAACCCAAAATCAGAAATTGTACTATGGTTTTGGAAGGAGTCTGGCCTTCCCGCCGTTTCGGCTTCCCGACGCTCCAAGACGGCCCCAGAGGCCCCAAGATCGCCCCAAGACGGCCCAAGAGGCTCCCAAAATGGCCCCAAGGCGGCCCACGAGAGCCCTAAGACTGCCCAAGAAATCCCCAAGACGGCCCCAGAGGCTCTCAAGACGGCTCCAAGAGGGGAGCCAGACTGGGAGCCCGAACGAAAATTTCGAGCCCTCGGCCTCCAGAAGCCCCCAAGAGGCCCCAAGAGGTCCCCAAGAGGCCCCCAAGAGGGTCCCAAGAGGCCCCCAAGAGGCCCCTAGCAGGACCCAAGAGGCCCAGAAGAGGCCCCAAGAGGCCCAAAACAGGTCCCGAGGGTCCCCACAACGGCCCCCAGGATGCTTCAAACGTGTACTCATGAGGCACCCGAGAGACCTACCACGAGATCCCAACGAACACTGAAGAGCCCTCCGACACCACCCAGGCACTGTGGCGGCATTGGCCGAAGACCACTACATAATCGTAAACGTCACCGTCATCGTCATCGTCATCATCATCATCATCATCATCATCATCATCATCATCATCATCATCATCATCATCATCATCATCATCATCATCATCATCATCATCATCATCATCATCATCGTCGTCGTCGTCGTCGTCGTCGTCGTCGTCGTCGTCGTCGTCGGTCGTCGTCGTCGTCGTCGTCGTCGTCGTCGTCGTCGTCGTCGTCGTCGTCGTCGTCGTCGTCGGTCGTCGTCGTCGTCGTCGTCGTCGTCGTCGTCGTCGTCGTCGTCGTCATCATCATCATCATCAGCCTCCACTTCCTCCTCCTCCTCCTCCTCCTCGTCCTCCTTCTCCTCCTTCTCCTCCTCCTCCTCGTCCTCCTCTTCCCCCCCTCATCTCACAGCCGGTCCCCCGGGTCCCCCGTGGCGACGAGGAGGGCCCTCGAGGACAGAGCCTCGCACCTCGATCCTCGAGGATCCAGGAGCGAACCTCCACGTTGGTCGTCGTCGTAATGATCCCACTCGTCGACTGTTGGTCGTCCGTTGTCGTCGGCATCGTCAATCCCAACAATAGCACCAAAAGCGCCCAAGATCGGCGGCACTGGCCGGAAGCCACTATATACATGTGTTTATCGACTTCTATCTCTCCCAGCGGGTGGCGCAGCGGAACCACGTCCGCCGCTGCCTCCTGCTCCCCCATCCCTCTCCTTCCCTTCTACGCGACCCAGATGCGCCGCTGCCGTCGTGCGCAGTACGCGCACGCTAGATCCACTCATGCTGAAGTGTAGATTCGTTCCCGCTCTGCGGCAGCTGGTAGGTAGCCACTCGGACGGGATGCATGGTGCTCTGCGCGGGAAGCCAGGGGAAGAGCGTATGACAGCAAAGCAGGCCAAGGCCTGCTTCTGCTCTGAAGTCTTCTTCTTCAACATGTACTCAAAGAATACGGAAGCGAACCTCTGCGGACGCCGAGGCCAAGGCTGGCAAGGCATTAGCACCACGGGACTTCTGCGCAGACATGCCATGCTAGACAATGAGGATACGCACCTGCAAAGTGCGGGCGCAAGGCCTGACTAACGACCAGTGTCACAAGAAAGTGAATACGTACACACGGAGTGCAACAGAGCCTTGCAACTGTGCCATGCGTGAATGCGCGACTGTGCCATGCAAATCACTGTGCAGTATGGCCCAGCCGTGCGACCTGACAGCTTGGAAACCAGGGATGGACTCCTGCGAAGGCAGTAGCCATACCATTAAGTAGGGTCTGCCATCCTAAAATAACTGCCCAAGAGCCCCACGAGCGGCCTGGAAACGCAGTAGGTCTGCTCGGTCCAGCCCGTGTCTACGCTGAAACATTGAAAACGCCCAGGAATTTGCCTCTCGCTCTCGGGAGGACGCCAGCAGCCCCGCTGCATCTGCACCCCACTCCCTCGGATAGCAACCAACCCTCCTTCCCCACGGGCCGGCAGGGCGCCGTGGCCTCTATGGGTCCGAGAAGAGCTTGAGCTCAAGAGAGCCTCAGGAGAAGGAAGGCGGAAGAGAACGGGGGTACGTCGGGGAGGAATTGGCACCTAAACGCTCCTGGTCCTTCAACAACTAATCCTTCTGCTGCTGGCAACCCCCACACGTCTCTTCGTCGGCGAACGACCAGCAACATAAACATAACAACTCCGAGGTCCGCCCAGATTGCTTGGATCGGCGCTGGAACCCCCTTCGTGGCGCGCGGACCCCGCCAGCGGCGGCGCCGGAGGCGCCGCCAGGAATCTCCAGCGCCGATCGAAGAAACCCACGCGGAGCTCAGGCAATTTCCGTTTGTGCAATGCTTCCTTCTTCGATCTACGCCCCCCTCACTGAGGGCATCTCACCGTCACATGTGGGACAAGAACATATTTTTTGGGGTAAAATAAAACGCGGAAGTCAGTCTTGAAAAACTCACACATGCGCACAATGTTGGCCTCACACGCCGCGGGCTCGCCCCAACCGTAGGGTGCCCCAACTACAAGCCGACGCCGGTCCCGGCCATGCCACGACCGAGGCCGGTGGAAAGCTGGAACCCACCGAATCGTCGGGACACAATGAGGGGCCTTCTGGATGGGGTCCAAGTAGATACTATCGAAGGATCGCGCCGCATACATCGCCGATGCATTGGCGACGTCGGCGTGGAGAAAATCGGGCTCCACATCGAGCCGCATCGCCGATGCATCGGCGATGTGTAGCGATCCTTCGACCCCATCTACTCGGACCTCACCTGGGCGGCCTAGACCGATGCGCCCGAGGCTCGCCCCAGCCATGGGAGGAGCCCCAGCTGCGACTGCGGGGAGCCAGCGTCTGGACGCACACCGCTCACCGCTCCCCGAAGAAGAAGTACGGCAGGAAGTTCGCGACGTACTCGTCGAATTCGTCCTCGGGGGGAAGCAGGACCGACTGGTTGTTGATCAGAAGGAGCAGGGTGTAGAAGAGGAAAAGCATCACGATCGCGAACACCAGCACCACGTACGTGGCGGGGCTGTCCTCCTTGGCGGTCACGCCGTACTCGCTGTTGAGGGGCTTCAGGAGGTCGCTGAGGCCCGTGCGAATGCCGTTGAAGTTCGGCTTGCGCCTGGGCGCGTCGTAGGCGGTCATGTCCTCGAACTGGTTGTTCCGCAACACGCCCGCGGACACGCTAGTCTCCCGCTGCTGCCGCGCGGCGGGGCCAGAGACGAAGCTGGGCCCAGCGTGGAGCGCCAGGCCCATCACCGCGGCGACGCAGAGGGCGACCAGGCGAGACATGGTGTTTGCCTGGGTCTGCAGCTTGTCCAGCTGAGGGCTGCGCAAGCGGTGAGCCAAGGGGGGGTGCTTCAGCCAAAATGGCTACGGAAGGTGGGACGGGAGCAATTCGTCGGGTGTTGCCAGGGGCGAAGGTTGCCCCAGCTCTCCCAGGGAGGCCCAGGGCCAGGTGGCCTCCAGAGCACCCCCAAAGAAGCCCAGAGGGCCAAATGGGATCCTGAATGACGCGGACAGCTGGGGTAGAGTCGGGCCAGGACCACCTCTGGCAACCTCTGGAGTCCTGCTATACGCAAGGTTGGCCCGTCTTGCGCGGTTTGCTAATAGTTGCATGCGATGCGACACGAGCGGGCTGCATGTTGGTGCTCGGCCCCGCAGCGCCCCCGAACGCTGGCACACTCGACGGACGGTGTGGTGTGCTTGACGTTGTCGGCTCTGGCACGACCCGTGCGTATCGGCTTGGCCACCAATGCATTATTGCAGGGGCGTGTGCTGGCCAAGGGACAATTCGCCGGCCTAACAGGCAAGAAGCGTGCGAAGATCCCCGATCGCCAGCCTATCGATCCAAAACAATTTTACGGCCTCCAGATGGCCCAAGAGGACTGGAAGACGCCCCAAGAGGCCTCGAAAAGCATTTCCAAGAGAGCCCCAAGAGGCAAAATGCCTTGATCCCCCTTGCGGTGTTCAAAGATTTGGGCGTTCTCGCCTTGTCAGCTTCCCGGCGCTCCACAACTGGCCAAGCGGCTCCAACGATTGCCCCAAGAAACCTCCAAAAGGATCCCGAAACAGGCCAAAGCGTGCCCGAAGAGATCCCAAACGCATGCAAAACTGCCTAAGAGACCCCAAAAAGGGCTCCAAGAGAGTTCCTAGACAGAGAAACCAAACAAACATTTCGAGCTCTCGGCCCCGAGAGGCCCCAAGTCGGCCTCAAGAGGCCCCCGAGAGGCCCCCGAGAGGCCTCAAGAGGCCCCCAAGAGGCCCCAAGAGGCCCCCAGGAGGCCCCAAAAGGCTCCCAAGAGGCCTCCAAGATGCTCCCAAGGGCCCCAAAAAACTGCCCCTCTGAGGCTTCCGAAAGCGCTCCGAAAAGACCCCGAAAACAATCCCTGAGGACTCTGACTCACGTCAGCGTCGTCGTCGTCGTCGTCGGCGTCGTCGTCGTTCTCCCTCAGGGTCGGCGGCACCGGCCGTAAGGCCTTCATAATAAGTTGAGGTTCCTTCTAATTCGCGCGCGCGGCACCAAAGAGTTTCGCTACCCTGCGAGATTTCCAGGAGACATTCTGGGGAGGTCCCCTCAGGAACTGGTTTTGCCCCTGGGCGCTGCCCCCAAGAACGCCCCGGAAAAACGGCAAGAAAGCTCGCGAGCAGCCAAAAACCAGGATCAGTACCCAAAACTATCCCAGTTGGCCCGAAACGTTTCCGAAACGGAAATGGAAACAAAAAACACCAAGGCCATTGGGGGAGGAAAAACGCGTTGTTACATTGCGCATTTGAAACATTATCGCGTTATCGCCTTTTCGTACACCGGGTCCCACAAAACGGTCCAGGAGGCCCCCTACATCGCCCCAAAACAACCCAAGAGGTTCCCAGGATGGCGCCAAGATAGCCCAAGAGGCCCCCCAAAAAGAACCCCAGAGAGGAACCCGAATTGCCATTCGGAGCCCTTCATCCGCAGACGGCCCCCGAGACCGCCAGCGTGCAGCCAGGACGGCTCCCAGAGGCTCCCATGGCCCATGGCACCCCCGAGAGCCCACAATATACCCCAAGATAACCAAAAACGCCGCCACAAGATTCCAAGAGGCCCCCCAAAGCCGCCAACGCGGACTCGCGTCCACGGCCCAGCCTGGCCCAAAAACTAAACATTGCGTGCAGCATGGGGGGGCGGAGCGGGCGAAACGATAGAATTCGGCGGGGCCTCCGCGGGCCTCGCCGCGCTTGCGCTCGAGGAAAAAATGAAATGGAAGATGAATGAAAATCGAGGCACGGTGGATGGGATAAATGTGAGAAGCATTTTCCAAAGCTGAAGATTATATTTCGATGCAATGGCGGATCGGTAGCTACGCTCACGATCCGGGCATATAGAGCGCCGGCCGCTCGAACATCAAACGGCGGCACGCATGTTCGCCGCGCTCGCGCCGCGCGCCACCCAACCCTCTGAGCTGCGTTCAGAGTCGAGGGGGGGGGGGAGACGAGCGGTGGCGAACGTCGAACTACACGTCGCGCGCTCCTTCGCACGAGCCAGTAGTTCGTTGGCCATCTTGATATGCTTAATAGTTGCCGATGCCGTAGTCTGCCGGATGATAACCGCACCTGCGATCTCGTGTGTGACATAACCACAACAGGCCGCCCGAGAGTCCTCGGAATGCCTTGAGCTCCGTCGCCGTGAGAGGTGAGTCGTCTTGAGCTGCTCGAAGCTTGCCGAGAAGAACTGGCTGAAGGTTCTGACGGAACTCGTCCTGACACGTTCGGATGCCAAAGTCGGTCTGCTCGTGTCTGATTCCCGCATGATTCATTGATGGTTGCTGTCGCGCGGTTCCTCCAAATCTGTCAGAGAAACTGACGTAGGACTCGTTGAGCAACACGTTGCTGCTCTTGTTGTCGCCCACGTAGGAAGTCGCGATCGCCTGGAGTTCTCCCGGGGCTTCCATCCAGAAGTAGAAACAATCGTCGAACGCCGAGGGCCTGCCGCCCAGCGCCTCCTGTCATGAAGATCTGCATGACAGCCTGAAATGCCAGAGGGGCGTCGTTAAGCCCGTGCATCGCATTGAGACGCTCCAGAACCCACACGTTCAGACTGCCCTGCAGAGCAGGAACGTGGAACGGCTTAGGATCGATGTTCCGTAGGTGTCTCCAGACACTGGCCGGTGGAATGGTGCGCACCTGCAGCTCTGAGGTCTCGATGCCGCGCTTGCGCAGGACCTCGCGCATATCCTCGAAAGGCAGACCCATCAGGACTGCGCCAGTGACGTCCCAGCTCACGATGGTGAAGTCACAGATCGCTGCCAGCGAAATCAGAAGCCGCTGCGACGACCGAGTCGGCGTCGTAGCTCGCTTCGAAAGTGAGGCGCCTTGGCCGTCCAGAAGACCTCTAGCGCATAGTCTGCTCTTGACGACCCACTCCATCTCGTTGCCAAGTTTGATCTGCTTCCCATTGCGAACCCAGACGCAATCAACTGGATCCTGCTTGCACTTGCTCATGGGTATCGGTTTCCACGCGGTAGACTCGACGAACAGCTTGATCTCCTCGAGGTCTGCTGCCTCGACCAGGTCGAAATGCCCCGCCACGCCGTTCGGCTTCAGGATGAGCGAGCCCGTGGCCGATGCGAAACATTCGCCCGCGAGAATGTCGAGATAAAAGCAGTGGTCCTCAGGGAAAGGTCCATCGAAGGATATGTAAGCCTGGCTGCGATTCCAGCTGCATGGTAATTCGTCGCCGTCGGTGAGATTGAAGCCTTCAACGCCTAAGCGAAAGTGATCAGCATTGAGCGCCTGTTGCTCTGTCATGGACTTGTGATACTCGCCCCCGTAGTCCTTGAGTCCGGGAACTAAGTCAATGCGCTTGGCGAAGTGCTGGTGGTGTTCAAGTAGTTCCTGCCAAGCCGAGCAGTAGAACACGTCAGACGACACAGCGCGTAAATCCTCACGCTCGATATCACAAGTGCACCGAGACGCGTCATCGTGCACAAGATTGTAATCGATGGCCCTGTCCTCGTCGTCGTCGTGAGACTGCTGCTCGCTGTGGGTGCTCTATGGTTGCGTCCGGAGGGCTCTGATGCACTGGAAGGTGAACCGATCTGGACCGCTCGTCACCATGCCGCAGATATTCCAGGGTCGGCTCAGCTGCTCCCGTCGCTTCAGCTGCTTGATCAGGAGTAAGGTGGCTATTCAATTGTATGTTGACCAGCTGCTTCTTGTATTTGCTCAAGCCGAGCTGGATACTCAATAGTCGGTTGACTTGAGTCCCTGTCCAGCCTGCGCGATCTGAACCGAGCATGGTCGCCGACTGAGCCGGCACCATCATCAAGAGCTGCTCGATCATGGTCGCCGACTGAGTCGGTACCATTATCTTGAGTTGTTTCAGCAGAAGGTAGCGTCGAGCCCTGCTCGCCCGATGATGCTGCCGCTTGTGAGTCACTCGTAGATGCTGGGGTCGAGCTCATGTCAGGGTCGTCGAACTTGACGCGCCGATCTCGTCGTTCTCGTATCCAATCTCCGTCGGCCCTCAGTCGTGGACTGAGTTCCGAGGCAGAGCCGCACTTCAATATGGATGTCTGCGTCCGAGATCTCTCGCCATCCTGTTCACGAGCTTCTGCCCCTGGTGTCACAGGTGGTTGCTCAGGTGCTGCAGGTTCCGAGCGAGATGCGTCCATGCCCACAGGTAAATCAGGAAGCGCCACTTGTCGCCCGTCTGGTGGAGCCAGAGCCTGTGGTGCTGGGAATATCGGTGCAGTAGGCGCCTGCCGAGGGTGCCGAAGCCTCGGGTGACAGCTCGATTTTGACCGCCTTCTGGCATAGGTCGACCTGGACGATCGTCAGGAGGTCGAGGTGGCGCAGGTGGCGCCAAGATAGAGGTGCCTGACCTCGACACTGTTTCGAGGGTGCTGTCCATGTGCTGTGATTGATCAGTCGGCGGGAAGGCCGACCGCAGTACCACAGGCTGTCGAGGTATCTGCGGTGGACGTCCTGGCGGCTGTGGAGGCTGAGGAGGCTGTCGATGATCGTCAGTCTCCATAGCTATGCTGTCGTAGCCGAGAGGTTTTCACCACTCCCTCGAAGGTGGTGGTGGTAGAACTTGCGTAGGGGGTGTCCAGGGCGCATCGTCTATCTGCCCGTTGCTGGGGATGTCCGACAGGTCCGGTGCTGCGTCCTGAACTGAAACTTCTCCATACTGCTCTGAGACATAGATGATGAGCGAGTAGTTGCTTGGCGTGTCTGCCAATATGGTAGCCAGTCGCAAGGCATGTCCCCGATCCACTTGTCGTACTTGATAGCTGAGTCGATCTCGTCGA